AAAGCTGGTCCCAGTGCTCCTGCTGGAGGTATGCCCCTCACCTTGTCAGCTGATGACTGAGGGGTGGTCACTTGGCCAGGTGGTGGAGGGTTTAGGCCAGAGGCTTTTCTGTCTGATGTGCCCAGTGTGGATGCTGGCTCACCTAGAATGGATGTTGCTGCCACTAATTCTCCTCCACTGCCTCCATTTGTCCCCTGAATGCTGCAATCCACTGTAGTGCTTGGTCATGCCTTCTGGCTCAAAACTGAGGCGTCAGGAACAGCTACACACTGCTCCTCTATTATCACCTTGTTTGAGTGCGAGCTATAGACTGAGAGGGTAGCTCTGAATAGGGCGTAGTAGCAAAATGACAAAAGGTGACATCATTCCTGCCTGACCATCACGGAAATTCAAGGGGGAGGAGCCAAGGATAGGGCAGGAGGGGGCGGAGTTAGAGAGACAGTTAAACAGTTAGAGAGACAGTTGGAGATGAAAAATGACAGTTAGGGTTTAGAAGTGAGAAGAAGAGGGTTGGAGATTTGAGCTGGGAGTGTTAGGAGAGGAAATTGAGAAGTTTAAAAAATATTGAACAAGCAGGAATGAAAGTATAAGCACTGCAATTAATTGAAGTATACAGCTGTTTGGAATAAAAGTGATTGCCTACATGATCCAATATGTGTCAATACCTGATACTCTTCATACTTGATTTACCTTTATGATTTACTTGTCAATAAAAGAATATTTGCTAATTCAACCTCTGTCCTAAGTTCAATGAGTATAACATAATTGGTATAACATAAGTGGTGCCTCGCTAGACGATTGCCTTGCAGGACGAGGAAATTGCTAGATGATGGGTTTTTGTGAGCGCTATAGCGCTTCGCAAAATGGCTTTCCCTATGGCCGATTTTCACTGGACAATGTTTCGGTCCATGCTTCGCAAGACTTTTTTTCTGGACTGTTTTTCGCTAGACGCAGATTTTGACAGCTGATTGGCGCTTCGCAAAACGGTTTCCTTATGGGCGATCTTTGCTGGACCACGACGATTCATCCCCATTGGAATACATTAAACAGATTTCAATGCATTCCAATGGGGAACTGTGCTTCGCTAAACGATGTTTTCACAAGACAGCTATTTTGATGGAATGGATTAACATCATTTAGCAATGCACCACTGTACCTGGTGGCAGCGTGAAGGAAAAGGGTGTGATCCGTTGTGAGGGCCAAATAAATAGGGGCAACAAGGTAGATTGCCACAAGCGCCTGGGAGGAAAATATATATCTCTGATTACAGGGTGCAGTCACAGTTGAAGATGCTCCAGAAGGGTGCAGGCTTTCTAAAATGGCAATGCAATTCAACATCATATCATGCAACAGTCTCACTCAGCCATTCAATGGGCCTTGGAACTCCCTATGGGACCTCTTAGCTGTAGCTTAACCCACAGTCACTTTAATAAGTGCCTTTTCTCATTCTGGACTGCTAAGCTTTGGCAGAATGGCAAAATAATTGGGCCAATCCTCATTCTCAGAAGAAGAAATACCTGGACGTGATAGAGCCGAGGCCTTTTGCTTTCTGGGTTGCATGCCTTTTTTTCAGCCCTGATCCTTCTTGCACCTGATTATTTGTTCCTTGGATGTAGCCAAAACTACCTGGTTATATACAGTATTCTTTCCTTCTTGTCTTCTTTTTTTAATTATAACACTATAAATTGCAGATTTTTCAATTTTTTAAAGATAGATTTCTTGATTTCTTGATTTATTCATTTATTTTTGCACTGTACCCTGATGATATCTACATTAATATCATCTGGGTCAAAAATCCCTTTTAAATGGCTGCAACCTCCTCTTCCATCTACAACCCAACATTTTCCAAGAAAGACTTCTGGCTTCCCATACAGGAGCTACACTATTTAGGCATGTATCCATGATCAAGTGGGGATTTTCACACCAGTCCTAGTTCAGTATTTTGGAGAAGAGAGTCTTAGCAATTTTCCCTAAGCCATTTTACTGATGTATGTTTCTATATCAGGAAGTGGCTAGTGGTACGAGCCAGATGTGCATGAGGATGAAGAAAGAAGACTTGATTTATTTACAATGGGAATTCTATGGGTAAGGGATATAAGGAACGTTTTTCATAGAGGAGCACCGCCAGCAGCAGTGGGCATATTAGTGGCAGGAGTAGGATTAGGAGTGGTTTGGGAATACGTCTATCAAAAGTATCCTTCTGATTGTGGACAAAGCACAAAGTCTCAGAACATGTTGGAACTTCTAGCCATGGACCTTATCCACTAACACCTTCAGCATT